CCCCCCGATGTATTGGGCATCCACGGGTCATTTTACAAAACAAATGCTAAAGCAAGTGTTTTGCTGCAGTTATTCAATCAACCTCACCTTGATGCTTATAGTGGCCCTGGTACCCCCTCTACCCCCCCCTTAAGTATTAGTCACATAGATGTAGCTGTAGGCCAACTAGACATAAGGATACAGGCACTGAATACTTACATCATAATCTTCTAGGAGGGTGACCACTCTTCCAGGCTATACATGAGAGGAAAGAGCCATTTTAGCACAGTGTATTAGGCAGCAAGCCTCCCCCCCCCAATCCCAATGATGGGCGATTGATACAGCCTGTAGCCAAGGCAACCCAAAGCATCAGCACTGCAGAGGAATAAGGGAGGCACCAGTTCCAGCCACTACACCAACAATGCCAAGCCAAGGACAATAGGGAAACCGGTGCTAGGAGGATTCCACCGGGATACGTTTTTAACCCTCCGACTCCCGAGCGCTCTCCATCGGCGCTCCCACCAAGAGTTAGCCGGCCATCCCTGTCTCGCAGTGGGCATCCTCTCCGATTCCCCCTGAAGCGCAGCCTCCACCAAGGGACTTCGTCTGCGTTTCCTGCCCTCCTCAAGAGACAGACTCCACCACCACCACCACCACCACCCCCGTCCTCTCACCATCTTCTCGGAGCCTCGGTGGAAAGTGTCTCCTTGCCAGAAGCGGCGGCTGTAGCCGCGAATGTAGCCCACTTTGCGGGAGGTGAACTCGAAATCCGGTCTCCACACCAGCGAGCCGTAGCCGAAGATCCAAAGCGGAGACTTCGGAGGCGCATCTTCCGCAGGGGAGGATCCCTTCTCTTGCGGCCGCCCGGAGGGATGCTCTCCCCCGTCGGAGGGAGGCTGCGGCGGATCCCGCTTCATGGCCCCGCAGCTGTAGCACTGCCTCTTGACCCCCCCGGGGTAGGGCTGGGCGGAGGGCGCGACTGGGGCTGCTGGGCACTACGGAAGGACCGAGGCACACACAAGCAACGAGGCAGACTCCAAAGCTGACAGTCCCTCGCGCTTCTGCCCAGACCCTAAATACCAGCCTGCCGGTAAACTCCGCCCAATTGTCACTGAGCTCTTCGGCCTCGCGCCGTCGGTCTTCCAATCAGAGTCTCCAGCGTCCAGACTGCCGCAAATAGTCCCGCCTCGTGGCCGGCATGCAGGATCCGGATAGGTCAGAGGTTTCTGCCCGTCTTGGGCAGAAGTCGTCCGCGGATTGGTTCCTTTACTGCGCGCTGTGTCAAAACCGGGATGATGCAACCTGGCTGGAAGCTTTCGAGTAAAGGAGGCAGGTGATTGCATCAGGCGGCCTCCTGAAGGCTTCCCTTGGGTAGACCTGAGTGGAGAATGCCAGGATCGGGGTCAGTAGGAGGAAACGTGTCTTGAGAAAGGATGTCTGCGACGAGAAGGTGGAGTCTCTCCGCGCCTAGTACAAATAGCATTTAAAGGAAATAGCTTGTTCCAGTTTCTGCAGTGGAGGAGAGGGGAGGATGTGTATGTATACTATCCGTGAAGTATGTATCCGTGAAATGGTCAGAACCCACTGATAGAGGTGGTACCATGCGAGTCCATGAACTCGACTGGTTGGGTTTTGAATTATATTCCGCAGCAACGTTCATTTTGAAGTAGAAATCACTAGTTACTAGGGTTGCCAGCTCCGTGTTGGCAAATACCTGGAAATTTTGGCGGGTGGAGCCTGAGGAGGGCAGGGTTTGAAGCGGGAAGGACCTCAGGGGGTCTAATGCCACAGAGTCTACCTTCTAAAGCAGCCATTTTCAACCAGGTGAACTGACCTCTGCCACCTGGAAAACAGTTATAATCCTAGGAGATCTGCAACCACCACCTGGAGTAATAATGGGCAATACAGAAAAAGGAATAAGTGCCTACTTTTCTCTATCAGTACCAGCTAGGTCAGGTTACACCTGTACAGAGAAAAGAGGAAAGAACTATTGACGCTTTTTCATACCTCCTTCAGCATCTCCCCCCTTTCCCTTCAAAATTCCCCCCCCCCAATGAGATGGGTCATGCTAACCAAAATCCCAAATGCAGCAATGGGTCGATTTAGCAGAAGCAAAGCCATTCCTGCAGCCATTTAGACTTAGCAACAGAGGTCAAGAAAGCACCACCTACATCTCCTTCCTCTGCTATGTGGATTCCATCATTTCAAACCTATACTGTACGCTCTGCAAAGTTTGGGTCTGGTGGCACCTTTAAGACCAACAAAGTTTAATTCTGGGTATAAGTTTGGTGTGCATGTGCACTTCTTCAGGTTTGCCAACCTTCAGGTGACACTTGGTATCTGAAGAAGTCCACACGAGAGTTTATACCCAGAATTAAACTTTGTTCATCTTAAAGGTGCCATTGGACTCAAACTTTGTTCTACTGCTTCAGACCAACACGGCTGCCCACCTGAATGTATTCTCTGCTGTTACTAGGGGGGCAGCCCAATTTCAACAATGACAGCTGCTGCAGCTGCATGAGTGCTGGAAAAATAAAAGGGGAGAGTCATACTCATTGATCATGGGACTGTTTGTCACCTGTCCAAGGAACCATACTATGTAGCTTCTCCAAGTAGTTCAGAATGCTGTACATATAGTTCCTCCTCTAATTGTGTCATCACAACAACCCTGTGAGGTAGGTTAGGTTGAGAGAGAGTGATTAGCCCAAGGCTTCATTGCTATCTGTGATTTGATCTAAGCACTAGACCAGACTGGCTTGATTGCCCCAGTTCTCTTCCAAAACTCACTGGGTGCACAGATGGCTATGCAGACATGAGGTGTGTTGTCACAGGGCCTAAGTCACAGGGTGTGCTTACAGATTCCTGTGGCAGTGGCATCATGGTACTGGCTGACTTCATCCTGCAGGCTCAGTATCAAGGGTAGTCCTGGCCTGAGAAAGCTACAGACACCTTGAAGAACAGAAGAGCAGGGTAGGGAGGTACCACAGAAGATAGGTAAGGGTGCCTATGCTTCTACTGCTGCGGACCGGCTCAGAAGACAAGACATAAATAATGGGCTTGGTATCCCTCCAGCTCTTAGCTATGCTACAAAGCACAGCATTAAGTCAGACCCTGAAGCATTAGTGAAGATTTTGACCTATCACCTGGAGATCTCCTGCTATTACAATTGATCTCCGGACAACCAAGATCAGTTTCCCTGGAGAGGCTGCTTTGGAGGGTGGACCCTGTGGCACTATATCCTGCTGAGGTTCCTCTAGTCCCCAAATCCTGCCCTCCCCAGGCTCTGCCCCCCCCCAAATCTCCAGGTTATTCCCAGCCCGGAGCTGGCAACCCTATGCTCAGATATGCTATCCAAAAAATGAGGGAATTGACTTACATTTGCATACATGTTACAGTTATGTCCCATAATAATTTGTGTCTGTGTATAACCGTGTGTAAGACGCTGAACTGCAGGCTGTGGAAGGTCGGTAGTTCAGCAGTTCGAGACCCGAGTTGCCGCATGACGGAGTGAGCTCCCATCTCTAGTTCCAGCTCCTGCCAACCTAGCAGTTCAAAAGCAAGAAATTGCAAGTAGATAAATAGGTACCACTTCGGTGGGAAGGTAACAGTGTTCCGTGTGCCTTGGTGTTTAGTCATGCCGGCCACATGACCACGGAAATGTCTTTGGACAGCGCTGGCTCTTCGGCTTTGAAACGGAGATGACTGGCTTTCGAGCAAGGGAACCTTTACCTTTACTTTATAACCATTTTAAAGGGGTTGTGTTACATTCGGGTAGTCTCAAGTAAATATGGTAATGTCCCATTAAGCCTTGATTAAAGGGCAGGACATTTTCTTCCATATCTGTTGGCAAATCTAGTTGAGAATATCTACTGAGTAGATTTACCTCTTTTTGTATCTTGCTTCTTCTTCCAGATGATGATGATTTATTAAATTTCTATACCACCTGTAGCCAAAGCTCTCTTGGCAGTTTACAACAATATAAAACAATAAAACACAATGAATAAAACATTAAGAATTAAAAATTTCATCAGATACATAAAAGCATTAATAAACAATAAAATCAGTAAAAACCAATTAGGAAGGCACTTGATTAATCATGCCAGGCCCCTAAGTAATTAGGGAGATCATTAAAGGTCTCTATAAAGAGGGCTGTCTTAACCTGGCGCTGGAAAGATGGTAGATTTGGTGCCAGTTGGACCACAGTAGGGAGGTTGTTCCAAAGATAGGGGCTGCCACCTAGTTGCCATCCTGCTAGTCTCTCAAGGAATTGGCACCTGGAGGAAGTCCTCAGATGTTGAGCATAGTGTCTAGGTAGATTGCGGCCAGGAGAGGCGTTCCAACAGGTATTGAGGTCCCAAGCTGTGGAGGGCTTTGTAGCACCTTGAATTGGGACTGGAAACATATAGGCAGCCAATGCCATTAAATTGGGACTGGAAACATACAGGCAGCCAATGCAGTTGGGCCAGAACTAGTTTTATGTTTTCTGACCTCTGGGGCCCTGTTAGTAATCCGGCTACTGCATTCTGTATCAGCTGCAGCTTCTAAATCATCTTTCAGGGCAGCCCCATGTAGAGTGAATTGCAGTAATTTAGTCTGGAGATTACCAGAACATAAATTACTGAAGCCAGGCTATCTTTGTCCAGGTAGGGGCACAGCTGGCCCACCAGCCAAAGCTGGTGAACCTTTGGAGCCTCTAAAGCAACAGCCCACATGTTACATAAGGGTTCTTATTCCCTTCATATGTAATATGGAAGCATAGGGTATTTGGCCCATAGTATACTAGACAGAAGAAAGGAATAACATATGCAAAGAATGGGCAGAATAGATCTATTCATTAGACTTTCTTACCCATATTACATTAAACACCATCTAGTCTGGCTTATGGCTAGTACTGAGTTTTGGAACAAGATCACAGAACCTGCCATGAGTGTTTATAATGACCATTCAAAGCATATATACTTTGTTTTTTTAAAACACTTCACTTTTTAAAAGTGATAGCCTCTTAGAACAAATAGTTACACAAATGTTTTAGGAATTATTTACATAAAAATGTAGAGATTCAGAAGTTATATTTTTGTTTTGGGGTGACAAGAGTGTTGCATTTGGACACTGAGGACACATAGCCATAAAGTTCATTTGGTGTCCTAGGATAAGTCACACTCTCCTAGCTTAAACTATTTTACAGGGCTGTTGTGAAGATAAAGATAGAACTTGTCTGGGTTGGCTGTTGCTGTTGTTGCTGCGGCGGCGGGGCTTCCGGTTCTACTGCTGCCTGTCTTGGTTCACTCTGGGGGAGGATCTCCTCCCCGCTCGGGGTTGTTGGTTGCTCTTCGGTCATCGGGGTGTGAGTGTTGGGTCCGGTTGGTAGTGGGGATGGCCCTCCGGCTTCAGGGGGTTGTCGCCGTCGTAGGTGGTTGACATGTTTCCTCAGAAGTCTGTCATTTTCTGTTGCGACCTCGTAAGACACTGGGCTGGTGGGTTTAATAATCTGGCCAGCTACCCATGGAGGTTCCGTCCCGAAGTTTTTAAAATAGACGGGTTCTCCAGGGAAGAACCCCCTTGGTGCCTCTCTGTCCTCCACCAACTTCCGGGAGTCGGGTGCGCGGTCTGAGTGGAGCTGGTCCAGGAGGGTCGCGGGGTGGTGGCCCATCAGTAGCTCAGCTGGACTGTGGCCTGAGACGGGGTTTGGGGTTATCCTCTGAGTCAGGAGGAAGTGGGCAAGCTGGAACTCCCAGTCCCCGTCCGTTATTCTGCGAAGGGCCTCCTTGGCTGTGTGGACCATCCTTTCCGCCTGGCCGTTGGTCACAGGGTGGAAGGGGACCGATAGGATGTGTCTGATAAGGTTCCTCTGGAGGAAGTCCTGGAACTCGGCCGAGGTAAACGCGGCCTCGTTATCGGAAATGATCGTGTCCGGCAGCCCATGTGTTGAAAAGATCCGGTGAAGGGACCTTATGATGGCTTTGGATGACGTGGTGGAAACAGGGCTGATCTCCAACCACTTTGAGTAGGAGTCGACCGTTATTAAGAACAACAGCCCCTGGAACGGACCTCCGAAGTCC